TGGGGGGCTGGGCAGAGCCTCGACTTCCACGCTCAGACGGCTCGGGCCCCACGGACACCCTCCCGGGACCAGAGGCCTCTGTGCTCCATGGCACACGTGGGCCGCCTTCTCTCCGAACTCAAGCCACGCAGTGGAGGGCGTGCTTCCCGACCACACGCCCGGCCACCGAGATCCCCCAATCACTGGGCCTGGGGTTGGTGACCTTGAACAACGGTGGATGCGACAGCAGGACAGGCCAGAGGCAGTAAGGAAGGGCAGCGATGGTGCCGGCCCCCAGGGACGGCTTCTAAGAGAGCAGCTGCCCATCAGAGAACGAACTCTGAGAAGGACTCAGAGGCAGCCTGAGTGGACGCACCGCGCGGACCTTCCCGCTCACACAGCGCATTGTTCTAGGCAAGATGACCACCAGCAACCAGCAGTCAGCAAGAGGCCGGGCGGCCTTGGCACCGGCCGGGCCTGACCCAGCGGAGCTGTGCCCAAGCACCACACACCGAGCCCTGGGCGCCAGGCCGCCCCGGGCAGCTGGGCAGCTTCCCCAGCGACCACGCGATGGACACCACACACCAAGCTCAGAGCTCCTTCCTGCCGAGCCGGGGGCTCCTCCTGCCCCAGCAGCCGCCTCAGTCAGCCTGACCACAGCTGGCACGCCTCCAGAAGCTGACCTTCCACATGTGCCAGTGACCAACCCACGAGACAAACGACCATGCCGCTTTCAGGTGACAGGCATCTGGTCAGGGGCAGGGTGCTCAGCCGCCCTCTGTCCCCAGCCAGAGGACACCGAGGCACCCTGGAAGCCCCTGGTGGGCTTTACTGTCCCAGGGTAAGCACAGACTACCCGCCCTCCGCCAAGCTTCGTCCCGCTCCTGGCGCCCGGCGATGCGCCAGGCCAGCCGCACAGCTGGCCTGGGTGCCACACGCCGACCTCCCTAGGAAAGCTGGCCGGGGCGCCTCAGCCCGGGGCGCCGCGCGCTGGAGCCCCAGCCCACGCGTCTCCCTCCGCGGACCCTTCCCAGCACCGGAGACGGAGGAAGATTCCAGTCCCAGCCACCTACCTGAAGGAGCCAGTAGCACCTCCGGTGGAAAGTGGGGATGATGGAGGAATGGACATAGCAGCCGTACAAGCACTAGGGAGAGAGGAAAAACGAGAATTCAGTTGGAAAGAGGGAAGGAAGGGAGGGGGACGGCGCAGCAGAGAAGGAGCGGGAGACGGGCATGGACTCCGCCCGCGCCCGGGGGACCGAGGGGCACGGACTCTGCCCGCGCCCAGGGGACCGAGAGGCACGGACTCCGCCCGCGCCCGGGGGACCGAGGGGCACGGACTCCGCCCGCG